TCTTAATCTTCACTGTTCCTTCTGTAAATATCAGTTCATCTTATCTGATTTTCATTGTTCATGTATTTTTATACAAATTGTGTTCCGTTCCCCTTTTTTACTTATCAATTTTTTATTAAAATACATTCAATGCCAAACCACCGTTGTCTACTACTTATATGGATATAAGTAACCCATACCACATTATTATAATTATGTAATTGATTGGGTATATACTAGTTAGATAATGATATCAATTCTACTAAGTTAAATAAAAACCATTAGAATGGAATATTTTAATTAGAAAAATCATCATTTTATAGATCTTTTCTTTTTTTTTAAACAAACAATCCAATTCATTAAATAGCATAAACAACATAATTATTTAGATATATCTTAATTTGAAATACGTAATACCGTTACCCACCCTTTCTTGTTGTTGCTAAGGGTTAATGAGGTTTATTAGAATGAAAGTATTTTAATAAATCATAGGTAGACCGATGGTTAGAGACTTTGAATGACATGGCTCAAAATCGTTTGTAATGGTGAAGGTGTATCCATTCTTTGTGTTCTACCAAATTCTAATTTTCTGAATTCTTCATGTCCATTTCTTCTTTCTCTTTTCAAATTTATTTCACAGTATTATACTCTTTGAATAACATCTTCAAACCCTAATTTTTCCGATAACTGCTTATACTCTTACTACTTCTGTGGTGTGGTCTACTTATATTTATATAAGTAGTATATGGTGTGGGTCAGACATAGAATGTATTTTAGCAGAAGACCGATGAGGAAAGAACTGAAATGAAACGCAAACGTCTGGAAAATGCATGAGCAATGGAATAAGAGAAGAAACAGTGAAGATTGAAACAATTGGTTGTTAATTTGCAAATTGACTGTTCATTGTTTGGTAATCAGAATTTACTGAGATAGTCTGTAATCTTTGCCTAAATATATTCGATTGTCCCTAACTAGTGTTCAGTTCACTACATTTCTACCACTATGGGATTTGTAATGGACAACTGGATCTCTGTGTTAATGTGGTATAGCAAGTGGAACTGATGTGCGTATGCACGAAGTTCTACGTTGTGACTGACTGACTGATTGACTGAGAACGAATATATAATATTCCAATTACTTTTATTATTAACTTGATGATTACAATAAAATCTAATAAGCGGAAATTGTTTATCTTCATGATATGCTTGAATGCTAATTACGATTTCTCCTTACTCAGTAAACGGAATGAAGGTCAATGATACATGATAGGCTATTCTAGTCCGTTTTTATAAACGTAGACATCACATTTGTTGAGAAGGTTACTGATGGTTTGAGCTATATATAAACGACGTACAGGTAAATCATTCGATAAATTAAGTTGAACAGGTTTAATGATTTGAAAGATTTTGTTTACATACACTTGAGATCTTATATCACTCAGATAAATGTAGAAGTCTTAATTAATTTTAACTGTTCCTACTTAATCAGGTAGAATGCTGTTCAGAAATTCAGTAACAGATTTGTCTAATCACATACCTGATATATAGTGACTCAACAGGAGTATCCGAATAGACAAAAGTACTTGAACGAATTCAATTCAGAAAGAATATCCTTATATCCGGTTTTAACAATGGAATAATTGCACAACGGAGTATGTAGCTCAGCATCATGACGTGGGTGAATAGAATCGATCATAAAGTATACTATAATATACTACACTGTATTATCCTGGCAGCGACATTCCATTTGGCCCCCAAATGAGAGGGAGAGTTCGCTTTCCCTCTCCAAATGCTCTCATATGGCCACATGTATACAACCACTGACAACGAAGTCCTACTCACTGCCTTCTTGTGGCATTACTGTTGTTTACCAAAATGAGAGGATGAAAAGCGAATGTCCTGCACATTAACCAGGTTGGTGGACACGGCGATTCCACCTAGGGAAGTTGGAAAGCCTTGATTCCAAGCCAATGGTGCTCATGGGCTCCAGTATCCTGAGGGGACAAATGGCATATAAATCAATCGTTGGTCACCGGCTACCATGGGACTGCATCTCCTCACGATGCTCCAGTGTCTTGTGGATCAAATCTTCAGGTCAAAGGCTCGGAGTGTGGTCTACTAAGAAAACCATCTGCATTAGTTTAGGCACCTGGGTAGTATCACAGACCTCACACAAATCAAATGAGATTTGTGTGGCGCATATATATCTGTTACCCCCTTTGTACCAATATTTATGTGTTTAAATAAATAATAATAAATACTTTATCATAGTTGAAAGCGTGAGTCAATTTAAGCTAGACCACCATGGAAAACCTGGAAACACTGGACGGCCGTTTCGCCCTACCATGGGACTCCTCAGCAGCGCGCATCCACGAACCTGCTCTCGCGAGATTCGAACCCAGGACCTACCAGTCTCGAGCCGAAGCCCTTAACCGATAGACCACTGAGCTGGCATCCAACGGTGTTAATGTCTAATAGGACGAAACGGCCGTCCAATGTTTCCAGGTTTTCCATGGTGGTCTAGCTTCAATTGACTCACGCTTTCAACTATGATAAATACTAAATTTCCACAAAACCCCTTCTGATAATAAATACTTTACTAATGTGTTTGAAGCGTTTTCTAACTAAAGTCATTTGTTTAAGTAATTTCAATCAATTTCGTAATTACACTTTTCAAATATTATAGAATGTAAGCAGTTCCGGTGAACCCAATGAAATAGTATGAATCCATTCACTTCTAATTATATTATTGTTGATGGTCTCTTCAAGGTAATAAATAAAAAAATAACTATGTATACACGATCTCACACTCGCGAGATTCGAACCCAGGACCTATCAGTCTCGCGCTTTCAACTATGAAAATACTAAATCTCCACAAAATCCCTTCTGATAATAATAACTATGTATGCAAAAGAGTATTTTTGTCAATCTTTAATTATACTGGTGACTTCAGTTTCCAACATTTAGTTGTATACTATCTCATCAAAATAATAACTCAGTCCTATAATGCAAATCATATAATTCACTAAGGAAAATTCTATTAAAACCATTTCATGAACCTTTTTAGGAAAACAAAATCAACAATGATACAATAAAACACCATTAACACAAAATGATGATCATGTTGTATGTAAAATAGGCTGAAAGTGGGAATATGTACCATTTAGTTCTGATTCAGTAACTTGACTCTACGATACTCATAGCAGAACCTCAAAGTTGTAAGTTTAATCCTGTCTAGAGTGTTAGTTGAATACTAAAGACGAATCTCAAGTTGTTTAATGGTCTATGAATTGAAAATACATTTTTTTACAATGTAGTTGAATATTATGTCCTACTGAATTTTAACTTTTAAATCTACAAGTACTAGTATTTCCTACAATGCCAGGAAATATAAAATTGAAGCTTGCTGAATATATTAATTTTATTGATGAGCATCTGATCAAATAGATGGTAGTAACACAGTATTATAAATTTTTTTCGTTTGAAAATATGAACCAATAAACTCCCGTTTGGTGGTCAAATAATATCGTGTTTACTTTTTTTTCTGAGAAGGGGTAACATGAATTTAGTCTCATTGTAAGGACGGTAGACTCTAGAAAACCCTAAGAAGCCCAGGAAGAGCCGCAGACATTCCATCCAATCACGGCTAGGGGAATGTTCTAGAAATGCTAACGTGGAGCTTCTCCATTGGATGGATTAGTTTGATACCTATTTGCTTATTGGTTGACCTAAATGATAATTTATTTTCAGCCAATAACTATAAATACACGAGATTTCTATGCTATATTTTGACACTGTTCGGGGCAATAAACTTCCTGCTTACCAGTTTTTGTCTTCTCTCTTTTTGTGACGTTGCGGGTTCTATCGTTCAAGTAGTCAAGTAGTTCGCGGCATATTAAGAATCAAGGTTCTAGATATAACACTCATAAATAATGGATGGAAAACTTCTAAACAATTTCATTACAACCTTCTCAGTTTCTCCCCCCGCCCAAATTCACTGATACGGCTAGGAGTGGGGTCAGCTCCCTCTCTCTCTCTTGAAATGCTCTCACATGACCACGTGCATACAACCACTGACAGGGAAGTCCTAATCAATACCTCCTCACGGAATTACTGTTGTTTACAAAGTTGAGAGGACGAAAAGTGGATGTCCGGCGCTTTAATAGGTTTAGTGGACATTAAGAGTTCACCTAGAGGAGTTGGAAAACCATAATTCCAAACTAATGGTGCACATATGCTTTAAGATCCTGATGGAAATAATGGCGTATGAATATATTTTTGATCATCGACCACCATAAGACTGTATTTCCTTACGATGTTCCACTATCTTATAGGTCATACCATTGGGTCGAAGACTTGGGGAGTGGCTCCCTAAGAAAACCACCTGTTTCGGTCTGGACACCCGGACAGTACTACAGCCCTTACACATAGTATGGTGCATATCTATTTGATGCCCCCTTTGTACCAGTATTTATGTGTTCAAATAAATAAACAAGTATTTTGAAATCAATAAATCGATTCATACATATATATTTATCACATTCAAAGTCGTTTCTCTTTTGACTTAGTAACTAAAATGTTAAAAGAATTTTTGTTTTAAAAAAAAATTGTTTTAACTATTTAGGGGAAGAAAGAAAATTATGTAAACTGTAAGATTAAAATTATAATAAAAAATATCAAGTAAAAATATGTAAACATGGGAATTCTAGACTGCAATTCTTTATTCTTATTTAAATGAATAATTTCTATGGTTATAGAAATATAAACGAGAAAAAAGGGGGGATAAAACTTTTTTATATCATTTAGGGTTAAACGAATGTAGTAGTAGTAGTAGTAGTAGTAGTAGTAGTAGTAGTAGTAGTAGTAGTAGTAGTAGAAGGAGGAGGAGGAGGAGGAGAAGGAGGAGAAGTAGGAGGAGTAGCAGTAGTAGTAGTAGTAGTAGTAGTAGTAGTAGTAGGAGGAGGAGGAGGAGGAGGAGGAGGAGTCGTAGTAGTAGTAAACTTCAATGTTTATGTGTTATTATTAAAAATATTTAGTAAATTTTAATGAATTAGGGATTAATGTACGTCTTAATGGTTTATGTGTTGTATTTGTAGAACCATGATAATGAATCCAACATTTAGGACAAAAATAATCGAAACATTTTAAATGACGACAAAAATAAATTCCAGGTACTGAAAAACATTTAGAACACAATGCATCTTCTAAATATGGATCAATTTGTATCTAAAGAGGGGGGGAAGAATAAACAGAATGATATATGTCATATATAAACAAAATATGGTAAATGCTTTGAGTTAAAGTTAAAAAGCGATTTATTAATAAGTTTAGAAGATGATGTCATGGTACGGCTCAGAGTGTGGAGAGTCAGCTCCCCCCTCTCTATATATATATCGAAATTCTCTCACATGGCCACGTGAATACAACCACTGACAGGGAAAATCGACTAAATACATTCTCACAGTCGGCCTGTTGTTGACGAAATCGAGAAGGCGAAAAGTGAATGTCCGGTGCTTTAATCGGATCCTGATGAAACGAATGGCGTATGAACCTATTGTTGATCATTGGCTACCATGAGACTGCATCTCCTAACGTTGCTCCACTGTCTTATGAAGTAGACCTTTAGGTTGAAATTTGGAGTGTGCCCCCTCAAAAAAACCCATCTGTTTCGGTTTAGGCAACCGGGTAGTATCCCAACCCTCACACAAATCAAATGATTTATATGGCGCATATCTATTTGGTGCCTCCTTGTACCAGTGTTTATGTGTTTAAATAAATAAATAAGATGATGTTAAACTGATTGAATTCCAGGCGGGTATAACAGAGAGAGAAGTCAATGCAACTACTATCACACAAAATTTACCCTCCACGAGTTGTAGATGTTTTGGATTGAATACTTAATATATTAATTATAAGTATTTTTAAGCTTTTCATGTTTCCACAAATGATTTTTTACTTTACTGATACAGTGATTATTTCGTTTCAATCATCACTTAACTTGTGCCGATATTATGCTGTACCATGAATAACTATGTAACTCTGTTAGATGGTGGAGAAGATTTGTAGCTCAGGTGGGTGATTTTGATGTAGGTTTGTTCTCTGAGCTGAATGGTTTGGTCGTGGAACTTTCATCGTCCTTCTGAACAACATCATCGGCACACATTTCGGGTGAAGTGTTTGAATTTCTCCACATGTGGTTCACAGGTTGTTCTGTGCACCTCGATGTTGATTAGTTCTTGTTGACCTTAAATCTGTCATTATTTATTTCTTCGTTTTGATGATGATGATGTCGTTCAGAAGGAAAATGAAAGCTCCACGACTAAACCATCCAGCTCAGAGAACAAACCTACATCCAACTATGTTAGACTTCTGAAAACAGAGTATATCTAATCTGTTTCCCTGAAAACCATTTTGCCTAAATACATTTACACTACAAACAAATAGACGAATAAATATAAGACATACAATGAAACTTACCACTTTACTAAACAACTGACATTCAATACAAATAAAATTGGTTTTTATAGCAGCCAAATAACCTTCTAATGAATTAAAAGCTACACGTCCTGATCCTATATAAGCGTAAAAATGGAAAACCATAAAGAAGAGAACTTCATTAAGAAAGGAGTTGTGATTGAGATGCTAATCGATTTTACGTGCTGAATTCATCAGTCGGAATTCATGATTGTAACTTTGTTCACTCGATGTCTGCTATTCTGGCTGTAGCCTAAAATCGTTAGCTTTGAGGAACGATGCATTTCGACCGATATAATTAACCATAAGTTTATATCTATCCCTAACGTGGAATTCAAAGCAAAGTCAACAGCCAAGCTTCTTTTGTTATTGTAGTTCTATCTTCGAACCCAGAAAACACAATGCATCTAAAGAATACCTCAACACACTCATTAGCTTAGACAGATAAATTATCAAACCCTACAGGACAAGAAAAATCATGCCATAAATGGCAGTGAGCAATGTAAACGGCACATAATTAATTAGAAATAATCATGACGTAATAAAACATCGCCGAGTGGATAACGCTATGGGTTTGAAGCAAAAGGTACTGAGTTCGAGTCCCAGAGTGAACATCAACTATGAGATGTAGGTACATCCAGCTGACGAGTCCCAAATAGGACGAAACGTGCATCCTGGATTCCACTGCTAGCCACTATCCATCTTTGCTTACAATGCTTGTCAATTGAGGCAATATCGAGGCAATTCGCACAGTATGCACATATGCCAATAACACACTGACCAGTTGCTGTCCTAAACATCAATGGGAAGATTCAACCAAACAATGCTAAGTGAATTTAAAACATCGTCTTGCTAATTTTATTTTCAAATGTAGTTCTCCTGCCATTTAATTCATTGAAATACTGCAAACAATATGTGAGTAACTATTGAGTAAAAGAGTACTGAAAATCACTACTCAAATAGAGATAGAATTATCGCTTCTTTCAAAGCCGGAACTCATCAACACTGCTTCGAAATGAATTAAACATTTAAGCTACTTATAAAGTATTTTAGTAATATATTCATAAATTGATAACTTACCTATTGGATAGTGATACTTATCTGTATCTAACGCAGCGTAACTAACATTGCTAAAGAGATCATTAAAAATAGTAAATAAAGCTCGTGCTGTAATCATTCCATGCAATGCGCCAACAAATATGGAGTAAACTTTTGTCCGGGTTTCAGTTTCTACTCTTCCTTCTTCAGATTGAAAATGTATGCTTTCACTGTTTCTGTGCAAAGTCAAGATGAAATTTAAATCAGTTACCAAGTTGATATAAACAAGTTTCATATGAGTCAAGCTTAAGAAAGTAATTATCCTACGACCGTTGTTAAGTGAAGTCATAGGTATGAGGCATACACATTAATTAGTAAGGAATACTGTAAGCCACATTGTGACGAATGGTCATTGTTATGTCCCTACAAGGATAATGAATAGTAACTTTGGGATCTATTTATGAACCCATATTATGCATATATTTTTTTATCGTATAATTGCTAAATAACTAGATTATTCATATTCATGTCCCTCTTATTATAAGCTTTATCTTGACATGTAGACGAGGCACGCCCAAACTTGGAATCTGGAAGGGAAGCGGAAAAGAGAAAGGCCGAAAAACACATTACGTCGGGAAATAGAAGCAGATATGAAAAGGATGAATAACAAGTGGAAAGAACTGGAAAGGATTGGTGATGACAGAGTTGTATGGAGAATGCTGGTGTGCTGCTTATGCTTCTCGACGAGGGGTAACAGGCGTAAATAAGTAATTATATACTATTATTATACGGTTTGCCATACTTGAGTTATCCCCAATCTATTAATTACTGCCTCCCACATTCACAGCCACATTTGGCCAAATCTTGTACAAATGTTATTTTCTATTTTATTGGTACGATGAGGTCTGCCTGTTTGATATATAAACTAAGTATGTTTGAAATATAATTATTCATACCGCAGATGCTGTTCTGAACTTAAGTGGCTGGGCTAGATAGAAAGCAAGACCGATATGTACTGTTGATTGCTCGTACGGTTTTCGTGTATCATTGGTCCGATCGACAATTCGCTGCTCTCTGATTGGCGGTCTACTCACTTCATACGTTAATAGGGCATCCATTTGACCACAAGTTCTCGCAGACTTAAACCTGATATAACTCCATACAATGAAAACATTTTGGCAAGTAAATGTACGATTAGAACATTTCAAAAGTATTACTGAAATAAAACACTCCATTTTCGAAATTTCAACTTTATTCACGAAACGGTCTTTAGCTTCAATTCATTTGAACTGATAGACTTCGTTGTTACATTTATTTTATGTATCAAGTTAGAATTTCACTTCATCTATTTCAATATAGAGCTTTTAAGAAAGGTTATTTTCCAGTTGAAGATGAAATTAAAAATAAACTCTCGAAGTGGATAAGACATAATCTGTGGAAATCAGAAAACTGCAGTATAAGGCAAACGCTAACTTGGAATCCTGAAAGGAAATGAAAAAAAAGGAAGACCAAAGTACTCACTGCGTGGAGAATCGGAAGCAGACATCAAAAAGATAAACAGTAACTGGAAATGATTGCCCCCAAATGCCCTAGTATGGCCGAGAGTGGGGAGAGTCCGCTCTCCCTTTCCAAATGCTCTCATATGGCCACGCGTACATAGCCTCTGTCAGGGAAGTCCTACTCACTGACCTCTCGTGGCATTACTGTTGTTTACGAAATTGAGAGGATGAAAAGCGAATGTCCAGTCCTTCAACCGGGTCGGTGGACATGGTGGGTTCATCTAGGGAAGTTGGAAAACCCTCATTCCAAACCAATGGTACGAATGGGCTCCAGGAACCTGAAGGAACAAATGGCGTATGAATCAATCGTTGATCACCGACTACCATGGGACTGCATCTCCTGACGATGCTCCACTGCCTTGTGGGTTAGACCTTTGGTCAAAGACTCGGAGTGTGGCCCCTTAAAAAACCCACCTGCATTAGTTTGGGCACCTGGGCAATATCACAGCCCTCATACAAATCAAATGAGATTTGTGTGGCGCATATATATCTGTTGCCCCCCTTTGCACCAATATTTATGTGTTTAAATAAATAAATAAATAAAAATGATTGTCTTGGACAGAGTTCAATGGAGAATGCTGGTGGGCGTCCTTTACTCCTTCACGAGGGGTAACAGGTGTAAGTATGTAAGGAAAGAAAATAGTTTTTTTTCTTATTTACATAAATTAAAAAGAGATACTACTACTGTTACCATAACAAAGAATGTTAAATTACATGAACTCACCGATTAGGAAGAATTGGATAAAATGAATCTTGTTTATCCCATGGAATAATTTGTAAAGAATCGAAACGAGTTTTTTCTAAATCAGGACATAATGTTGATAGATTGATATAGAAACCTTTAGTACGACGATAACACATTGATAATAACATTGATACACTTCTTTGATCATTGAATACTGCATAACAATAGCCTATATTAAAATAATATTTGAATGAAGTTTGTTTTTGTTAACTGTTTATAGATAATATGAACGTCAAGACAGTTCTACTGTACGGAGCTGAAATGTGGAGAAGTACTACATCCATCATCAACAAGGTACAAGTATCTATAAATAGTTGTCTACGCAATATATTCAAAATCCTTCGACCGGATACCATTAGCAACAGCCTTCTGTAGGAGGGGACAAACCAACTTCCAACTGAGGATGAAATTAGGAAAGGACGTTGGAAGTGGATAGGACACACATTACGGAAATCACCAGACTGCATTACGAGGCAAGCCCGAACTTGGTGGGAAGTGGAAAAGTGGAAGGTCGAAGAACACATTACGTAGGGAAATAGAAACAGATATGAAAAGGATGAATAACAAGTGGGTTGATGATGACAGGGTTGGATGGAGAATGCTGGTAGGCGGTCTATGCTCCTCCATGAGGAGTAACAGGCGTAAGTAAGTAAGTAGTCATAGATAATATACACATGATACACATGTATAGTTTACTGAGTTATAATCTGTAACTGAGATTTGTACGATGGAGCTAGTGTTAGGGATATACTCAAAATCTAGTTTGAAGTTCTATGATTTTTATTATTACTTTCGGATGTCAAAATTAACCCACAGGACTTGAATAACAGATTGTTTACATTCGTCTTAAAAAGCAAGTCCTAAAACCGATGATATCACGAATAAGTGTAATAAGAAGCTTTTGTTAGCAAATTTCCTATATGTCACTAAACGTTTGATTACAGGTTTTTCAGATACAGTAATTAGTCATAATAGGGCCTTCTGGAATGATAGCCAGAGATGCATATTATCTTATCTACATCAGGGTGTGAACATTAAAGGGGGGGGTTTGAATGACATACAAACAATGTGTCTTCAAGTCGAGTGTTAGAATTTTGCATTGGATAAATGAATTACGTTTCAGTAAGTTAGAATAAATTGGTGAACGGTTGCTCAAAACATAGTAGATTGGTTGAAGTTAGACATTACCACCATTGGATGCCGGCCAGCTCAGTGGTCTGTCGGTTATGTGCTCTGGTGCGAAGCTGGTAGATCCTGGGTTCGAATCTCGCGGACGCGGAATCGTGGATGCGCACTGCTACTGAGGAGTCCCACAATAGGACGAAAAGGCCATCCAGTGCTTCTAGGTTTTCCATGGTGGTCTAGCTTCAATTGACTCATGATTTCAACTATGAAAATAAATTTAAATCAGATACTACATATGAATTACCTCGTTTCAAACCGATTCTCAACAATGATTCACATAATTCTTTATTGTAATTACGTCCATCTATGACAGATGGTATTACAATAGTACCTTTTGGCCATACTAAACTAACTGGACCAAAAATAGATAGTCCTTTATGTAATTGATCTCTTGTCCATGTAGTCACTTGATTTCCACGCATTGGAACACCACCTACAAATACTTTACATGATAATCTATTCATAAATGATGAATTAAAATGATGATGCTTAACACTGGGAAAACAATTCATTGATTGATTTGATAATTGATTGAAATAAATTGATTTGGAACTAGTTAAATGTACCTCCAAATGATAAGTTATAGGTGGATGAAATGAAGCGGTGAATGTTTCACTATTGTATGAACAATCAACAGAGGTATCATTTTTGGAACAAAACTTTGTAGGTATATTGAAATTGACGGAATTCAATAGGTTTGAGCTTTCACATGAATGACATGCTGAAAATTAAATAACAATCATAGAATTATTCATTAGTTTGGAAGAAAAATTTATGGTGTAGAAGATTGGTAGCTCAGATGAATGATTTTGATGAAGTTTTGTTCTGTGAGTTAGATGGTTTGGTCGTGGAACTTTCATCGTCCTTCTGAACAACATCATCGGCACACATTTCGGGTGAAGTGTTTGAATTTCTCCACATGTAGTTCACAGCTTGTCCTGTGCACCTCGATGTTGATTGGTTCTTGTTGATCTCAAATCTGTCATTGTTTATTTCTTCGTTTTGGTGCTGATGATGTCGTTCAGAAGGAAAATGAAAGCTCCACGACTAAACCATTCAGCTCAGAGAACAAAACTGCATCAAGAAAATTCTATGCTCAATTAAGAATACTAAAGGTAAATTAGAGGAATTTGATCGCAACATGAATATCCATGTTATAGTTTAATTGAAATTAGTTCAGGTAATTGAGTGATGAAGTTTAGATTGGGGTACTCTAGTTTGAGTCAAAACTTTCTGCGAAGATTAACAATATTACCTATTTGATAAATGGAACTATGCAAAGATCATTTTGAACCTAAGACTTGACGATTAAGAGCTGAAGACACCAAGCTCTGATTTTTTGAGGATGATAAGGAGGGTTTGATATTTAGTTCTCTATTGTTTATTGCTCTGCAGTAACATGAACCCACGACCCCATAAAGAATTGAATCCAAGATTGTCAAGTTTCACAGCTACTATGATACCGTTCAGTCAATGAGTTTGGATTGAAAAATTAAAGAAAGGAGAAGCATGTCTATGGAGTGTAATTCTAATCAAGTATATCAAAAAATAAATATGAACTATTCGATAGCTGTTGATAAATCAGACAGGCTGACATTTTAGAGAGTGCCAGAACACCGGACAAGCCAAGTATTGATTGAAGCGATAACCGCACAAATATATAGCCTCTGCCAGGGAAGTCCTACTCACTACCTTCTCTTGGCGGGGGTGTTGTTTGCGAAATTGAGAGGACGGAAAGCGAATGTCCGGCGTTTTGGTGGAAAAGGCGAGTCCACCTAGGGGAGTTGGAAAACCCTGATTCCAAATCAATGGTACGCATGGGCTCCAGAATCCTAAGGGAACAGATGGCGTATGAACCAATCGTTGGTCACCGGCTACCATCGGACTACATCTCCTCATGATACTCTACTTCCTTATGGATCAAACCTTTAGGTAAAAGGCTCCGGGTTTGGTCCTCTAAGAAAACCATCTGTTTCAGTTTGGGCACCTAAGTAGTATCACATCCCTCACACAAATCAAATGAAATTTGTTTAGCTCATATATATTTGTTGCCCCCTTTGTACCAATATTTATGTGTTCAAATAAATAAATAAGAAATAATCAGTCAGCTATAACGTAGGACCAGTCACATGTATATACATCGGTTCAAGTTACCATACCTCATTAGCATAAACAAAATGTACATCGGATTCATAAAAGTAACTATTTCAATAAGTGAAACAAATTACATACCAGCAGATATTCTATAAGCCAATGCTTCAAGTTCTACTTTACCATATATTTTCAATATTTGTTCATAATAACTAGCCAATTGAATAACATCATTATGATAGTCATTTAAAGTGATAAATTTATTATTTTTCTGATATTCTAAATAATTATAACTTTTATCTAATTCCATTAATGAATATTCATTAAGATTGAGTTTATAATCTTTTATTGATTGATTATTATTATCAGTAGTATAGTGATTTTTTTGTTTATTTGTTTCAATGAAATATTTTTCAGTTATATTTTCTAATAGTATCATATCTGGAAAATAAAAAGGAAATGATCTCATATATCAAAATGTGAACCGATAGAATATAGAAATTATATGTCGATTCATGTGTTAGACTAAAAAATAAAAACAACACAACAACAATTAAAATGGTAAGCAGAGATGGATAATGGCTAGCAGTGGAATCCAGGACGCGCGTTTCGTCCTATTTGGGACTCGTCAGCTGGATGTACCTGCATCTCAGAGTTGATGTTCACTCTGGGACTCGAACCCAGTACCCTCGCTTCAAACGCCATCCATCTCTGCTTACCATGCTTGTGAATTAAGGTATATCGAGGCAATACGCACAGTATGCACATATGCCAATTAGAGACTGACCAGTTGCAGTCCTAAACACATCGATGGGAACATCCAAACAGGCAATACTAAGTGAACAATTAAAATGGTTGTAGAAACCATAAGTAATACTTGATTGTTAAATCCTCTATGAAAAGTTGCTTATGCCTCTTACCCTTAGTTGAGGAGGATAGGTCAACCACAAGCATTCTCCATCCAATCCTGTCATCACCAATTCTTTCCAGTTAACATTTATCCTTTTCATATATGTTTCTATTTCCCGACGTAATGTGTTCTTTGATCTTCCACTTTTCCACTTCCCACCACGATTCTAAATTAGGGCCTACCTTGTGATACAGTCTGGTGATTTGCGTAATGTGTGTCCTATACACATCCAACCTCTTTTGTTAATTTCCTCTTCAGTTGGAAGTTGGTTTGTTTTGTCCTACAGAAGGCTGTTGCTAATGGTATCCGGTCAATGAATTTTGTTCAGTGCTTCTTTAGCTTCAGTTTCATTTTGGCAACCACCAGTTGTCAGCTACTCTCTTGGTTCTCACATCTTCCATTGACCCTGTGATTTTTTTACTGATGCATATATGATCTACCTGTTTCTCTGTGATATGGTCCGGTGAGATCCATGTAGCTTTGTGTATGTGTTTATGTGGAAATATTGTGCTGTTTATAACTAATTTATTGAATGCACATAGATTTGCAAATCTATCACCATCCTCGTTCCTTTCTCCTAGTCTATGTCGTACGATTATATCTTCATATCCTGAGTTGTCCACTCCGACTTTAGCATTTAAATCTCTCACCAGGATGGTGAGGTCCTTTCGTGAGCACTTTGCTATAATTGATTGCAGCCTTTCATAGAACTGATCTTTATCATCGTCGTTGCTATCATTGGTGGGTGCATAACATTGTATAACGTTCATTGTTATCCCTTGCTTCTTTGTTCTGAATGATGCTTTGATTATCCTGGGTCCATGAGATTCCCATCCCACAAGTGCATTTCGTGCTTCTTTGGACAGCATTAGAGCAACTCCCTGAGTGTGTGGAGCATTTCCCCCTTCGTGACCGGAGTACAGCAGCATCTCTCCTGTACCTAGCCTTTGTTGTCCAGTTTGTGTCCAATGGGTTTCGCTGATTCCGAGTACTGCCAAGTTGTATCTCCTCATTTCCATTGCTATTTGGCTGGTCTTTCCTGTTTCCCACATTGTCCGGACGTTCCATGTACCTATAAAGAGTGTTGCTCTGGTTGTTAGAAGGTGCATCGGTCTCGTGACTTCCGAAGAATCTCGGCTTTCATCATGAGGCGTCATAATTCTTCCTCCTACTCCCAGGGCAGAGTTTAAATGGTTTAATTTGTTTAATCCGGTTGGCGTTGCCGACCCCATACTCAACACTCCTTTTTTACCCGGGCTTGGGACCTGCAGTAACTCTAGAAGAGCTACAGGAGGAGTTTCTATAAAAAGTTCTGGGGGAATAATTTATAAATTCCAAAATTCATGTTATCCCAGACACCCCCATACACCGCACTAGTCAGACTAAGGGAACACTCATTTCTTAAAAAAGTTTCATCTTCACATGAGCCATCTGCAATCCAACCTAAATGATCGATAGGAAGCCCTTTTCAAGTAAAAACTTAATCCCACCGAGAAAATTGAATTGATTGGAAAGATATGCCAATCAAGATTCCTTTCATCATTCATACGCAGGATAGTTATCTTTTACATAAAATAAAAGTTAACAATTGTGTTCTTAAAGGAAAAATGAAGGTCTGCTTTACAACCATACCATTACATTGATATTCTCAGAAGAGGTTTTCTGGAGATTTAGTATTTTCATAGTTGAAAGCGTGAGTCAACTGAAGCTAGACCACCAGAGAAAACCTAGAAGTACTGGACGGCCGATTCGTCCTATTATAGGACTCCTCAGCAATGCGCATTCACGATCCCGCACTCGCGAGATTCAAACCAAGGACTTACCAGTCTTGCGCCAGAGCACTTAACCGACAGACCACTGAGCTGGTGGGCATCCAACAGTGTTAATGTCTAACTTCAACCAATCCACGAAGTTGAGAAACCGTTCATCAATTGTCTTCAATGAGTTGATATCTCACAACAGACGTGGTTTGAACTCCACTGGTGACTGCTTCTCACTAGAACTCAAGGATATACCTCTTGAAGCCAGTCACTAGTGAGCATATGATTATTAACAGAATGGGTTTTGTGGAGATTTAGTATTTCCGGGAGAGACTGGCAGGTCGTGGATTTGAATCTCACGAGTGCGGGATCGTGGATGCGCACTGCTACTGAGGAGTCCCACAATAGGACGAAACGGCAGTCCAGTGCTTCCAGGTTTTCCCTGGTGGTCTAGCTTCAATTGACTCACGCTTTCAACTATGAAAATCATATTCATTATAAGTGAACTTATAAAGTGTTCTTATGAAAAATTAAAAAAATGATTACATAATAACTTGTTTGGAAGTTCCAAGTATTACGAATGATGAGTATGTAGTGAAGTTTAATTACCTTTTCATAGATCATTTTATGGATACATATTCGTTTGTTTCTCGTGGATAAAAAGGAGATCAAGTTTGCCTTCCTGTTTAGTGGAATACAGTTGTGAAAATTCGTATACTAACTATTTCAAGTTGGTTTCATGTATAGTATCATCAATAGAATTCATCATTTCATTTATTTTTGTGTGTATATGTATGCATGTATATTAATTTTTGCAAAGAACCATTTCGGTTCCTTTAGAATAGGGCATTAAGGAAATGGAATTCTGTGTTCACTTCTGCTTCCTACTTAAACTTAAACGAATGATGTCACCTACTTGATTTTTTTCAGAATGACACTGAGGTCCAATATATTGTCACACATGATGAATGTACCATTTATATATCTGTCAAATAAGTATAAGTTATCAGTTGTTGGTCAAAGCTTCGTATTCTCAAGATCGACCATGAAACAGTCAGTTAGGATGAGGTCCAGTGATAATTAGGGTTGTAATTCTCAATTCAATCATTTAAGGTACGTACTGTCTCATTCAGGGAAACATTTATGAAGTAACATCTAGTGTTGTCATTCTTTTGAGGATCACATAGATGTTCATAATTAAAATCAACAAAATTAGCGTGTTGTATCTATTGATGTGATTTCTGATCGGCCGTAAATTATGGTGGGCCATGTAGTCCAGGAAGACAATACTAGAGACACTATTATCAATAAACAGATGAGTATGTATCCATAAAATAATCAGTGACAAGGTAATTAAACTCCACTAGATACTCATCATTCGTAATACTTGGAACTTCCAAACAAGTTATTATGCAATCTTTTTTAGTAGTTGAATTAATGAGTTGATTAAAGCTATACCACCATGGAAAACCTGGAAGCACTAAACGGCCCTTCCGTCCCAGTATGGAACTCCTCAGCAGTGCGCATCTACGAGACCGCTCGCCGAATTGGAACCCAGGACCTAAATTCTAACACGCGGATGCTTAATCTCTAGACCACTGAGCCTGCATTTAACAGTGTTAATGTCTAGCTTCAACCAATCCACGAAATTGGGCCACCGTCCACCATTGTCTTCAGTGAGTTACGAGATCAATAGGTCTTGGGTTCGAATCCCATGAACGGGACCGTGGATGCGCACTGATGGGAGCCTCATACTAGGACAAAATGACTTTCCAGTGCTTCCAGGTTTTCCATGGTGGTCTAGCTTTAATCGACTCATGAATTCAATTCATAAACAAATTAGTCAAATCTTCACGAACCCCCTTTCTGATATTATGTAATCATTTTTCAGAAGATCACTTTATCAGTTCAATCACAGTGAATATGATTGTACTGTTTTAATAAATGGTATAATCGAAAAGAAAATTTTCTTATTAGAACCGTCTTTGATTCAACTTTAGTGTCGTGTATGTTTCTTTATAAATTGTTTTAAGCAATATTCTTTTAGTGATTTTAAAGCTTTGATCAGCCGGTTGAACTCCACTGGTTACTGCTTCTCACTAGAACTCCAGAAAATACCTCATGGAGTCAGTTACTAGTGAGCATATGATCATTATCAGAAAGGAGTTTTGTGGGGATTTTATTAATTTTTTATATAGTTGAGATCATGAGTTCAATCAGGTCTGTTGGAAGATATCAACTTACTGAAGACTTTGATCAGCTGTGAATTCCACTTTTCATACTCCTAAGTAAGTGAATATTGCATGATGTCGTTGATAAATAGAATTGATTTTATACTATTTTAACACATTATTAACGTAGATGTCACTATTGAATGGTCATATTCATATTACAGAAGTAAATGATTGATGATCTACTACTGTTTATATAGTTAAGCTTTTTATTGTTGGACCACTAGAACCAGTTTGAATCAGTCAGTAGGTCAGTAGAACTTCGTACGGACGTACATCAGTTCGATATGCCATACCACATTAACACAGAGATGCAGTTGTCCATTCAAATACCATAGTGGTAGAAGTAGTAAGAGTATAAGCAGTTATCGGAAAGATTAGGATTTGAAGATGTTATTCAAAGAGCATAATACAGTGAAATAAATTTGAAAAGAGAAAAAAGATAAGAAAATGAAGAATTCAGAAGATTAGAATTTGGTAGAACACAATAAGTAGAAGCACTTTCGTCATTACAAACGATTTTGAGTCATGTCATTTA